TTGGGGGGAAAGGAGCTCTGAGCTGCAGCAAGTGCAGTTAAGACGAAGGCACAGAGCCCGTGAGGGGCATCAGCGAGGACCTCCAGTGACACACGTCGACAGGGGACAACGCAAGACCCCTGTCTCTTTGCTATATGGACAAGTCAGTAGCACAGTATCAAAAAACTGGCAGTGGCCTGTGAACGTTGAGGGGATAGCTGCTGTGCTGCCTGAATAAGGAGCCTTTGGTTATTTTTCTCAAGTAGTTAGATGTTAGGGACACATAGGGATTTATATGTTTCTTGGCTGTGAATCAGCAAAAGTTTATCTTACTGAAGCAAAATGAGACCTAACCTGCCCTCCACCAGCTCCTGATTCACTTTTATCTCCCGAAGATGGATGTGAAAGTTGTGGCCACTTTTGAAATGATACATCAGTTAGCCTGATGCTAAACACTTAACCCTGACTTGTGATTGCCTAAGCCCTTTCAGGGGCGGTCATCAGCCTTTGTCAAGTTGATTTTTGATAAATGTTTTTTGAGACTAATCTACTCCCATTTGCTAGCTTCTGCTTTTTTTTTTTTTTTTTTTTTTTTAATAGATGCTGGACACATAAAATCAAATTTCTGCATTTTTAGTGTGACGTTATCAATAGAAAAAATGCCTGTCCTGGAGGCATACCTCTTTAGTCAGGTCCTGTGCTTCTGAAGCATCACTTCAGCCAACTCTTGCTAAATAGGTCAACAGCACCTTAAGATTAATTTGTTTAAAGTGCTGAAACTCACAACCTATAACCTCTGTTTCTTAAAACTTGTGATTCAACTGTTACTAAGCCTCTGACATGTTTAACATGTTTCTTTTCTTTGATAAATCACATTCATTACTAAATGCTCTGGAGGTTGCCTCCTCTATTGGAAGGCCTGCAGGTATTGTTTGAGTGATCACTGGTTTTTGCAGTTATACTCCTGTGCTCTGATCCTAACAGGAATCACTTGTAGGCAATGGAGTTAGTTTGTAAAGATGAAAACTGAAGATCTGAATCTATTAAAACACCCGAAGCTTCATGTAACTGGACTGTCAGACGGAGCTCCAGCTCCTGACTGGAGCTTCTGACATAAAAGAGAGTGGCAGTCAGTGGCGCAGAGTCCAGTTGGAGACCTGTAGTTAGCGGTGTCCCCCAAGGGTCGGTCCTCAATCTGGTCCTGTTCAACTTATTCATTAACGACCTGGATGAAGGGCTGGAGTGCTCCCTCAGCAAGTTTGCTGACGATACCAAACTGGGAGGAGTAGCTGATAGCCCTGA